TGACCCGATAACTACTCGCCAGAATAAAAAATCACAACGTGGCTGGTGAGTTGAATCGAATCAACATTGAAACCGGAGACTTAGGTCTGACCTGTAGTACTGGGCCATACAGGACCAACGGCCGGTCTTGTGGATGACGTCGGGTTAGGATATGGTGTTACCTGGACGCCTTGAGTAGAGATCGCGTTACAACTGACACCGCGCGAGAGGATCGGCGTTACATAATTAAAAAAGCTCACTGAGTGCAATTAAACTTTTTATGACAGCAAAAAGGTCAAAAAAAAAAAAATTAAAACTCAAAAGCATTAATTCACTCGTTTTTCATTCATAAATTTTATAAAATTTACATTTCTCAATTCTTCAAACAAGTTTCACAAAAGCCTATAGGATAAAACATATTCTTAAACTATTGGTTATATACGGTTAAAGATAATTTGTTTTTAAAAATAAATATCAGTTTCTTGATTTTTTGGACTGCTAATGTTTAATATTTCTTTTTGATTCCTTTTTTTTTTTTAAATGTTTTTTGAACTTTGTTAGGGCAGCAAAATATTACTGTTGTTGACCTACTTTTACAAAAGCCAGTTAATTTACTTTGAAACATCTCTAGGGCAAATATTGAATTTTTAAATTTGTTGTTTAACACTCAGAGCTATATCCTGGGACCTATGTTGTTTTTCATTTTCATCAAGGACCTACCGGTGTCAACAATTCTCAACACAATATCTATTGCTGATGACACAACTATTTACTCCTGTCTTAATGTTAAGTCTGATCGGTTCGATAAAGCAAAATTGGCAGCTCACATAAAAAAATGACCTACAATCTATTGTTTAACTGGGACGTTTTGCTCGGCTAGCAGTCGAACGGCGTTCTCTGCATCTCTATTGCTACTAATTGACCATTTCTTTCTCTCAGTCACAGTGTAGAGTAGTTGGCCATGATTAAGTACAACTGGCAAAAATGTCCAACAAACGGAATTGACAAAGTTACCATTAAATAATAATAAAAGAAAGAAAAAGTACATGGAAAAATAATACTAAGTAAACAATATATATGTAAGACAAAACTAGGAAAAGCAACAATAATAAGGCAAAATAATTCACAAAGTAAAACTGATGTTAACACGCAAAAGGGATACAGTCAAGTGATTATTCAAGACAATAAAAATAAAAATATATGTTATGAGTGCGAGAAGTGGCCCATTTTATTGATTAGGAAGAAATCCTAAACATGCATCTGTGGGATTTTGTCTATAAATTTCGGGAGGGGGAATCTTTTTGCAGTTGCTCCTAACAGGATTGATTTTTGTTTTTTTGCAGGCCAGTTTATGTCCCCGTTTTCTGTTGTTTGCGTTTGTTTTGTTCTTATTGTTTGTTTCTTTCCAGGCCGAAAAAGAATTTTATTTTGTCCACATTCTTCCGAGGAATATTTTTTTGTTTTTGGGAGGATTTTAATAATTTTGATTGAGCATGACTGACAGGAGGTCTTTGCCAAAAAGGACATTTTTTTGTATGGACGGATCCGCAGGAAAAAAAAAACGCCTCATAAAAAGGCGAAACAAAAAATACCTCCAAAGGAACGAATGCCTCCAAAAGAGGCAAAACCAAACCATACAGCGGCTCCAAGAAAGGACCAGATGCCTCCCAAAGATCTTCCTAAAAGGACACAGTCACTTCTCAAAAGAGGCTACCAAAATGAACCAGTCGCCTCACAAGGAGGTTACCAAAATGACTCAGTCGCCTCTCAGAGGTAAATCAACAGACTCAGACAAAGACCAACGGTCCAGTGGACGATGAATTACTCTGTAGATGGAAGTACATAAAATGTTTAATGCCTTAACGGAAAATTTGGAGAAAAAATGATTTCGATGGTCTAATATAAATCTTATTAAAGATGATAGCCTACAGATCCTCAAGAAGTCGAGAAGTTCGAAAAGTGACCCGTGTCCGTCTTCGTGATCGACAAGCACACTCGAAAAATTTGTTGTTCAACTAACGACCCCGTTGTCAAAAAATGACCTCCATGGGTATTTTGTCCCAGCAAATTATCAAAAGTGCCGGAATATTTGTATGGTACATGCTGCTTTTCATGCCCGAAGACTGTATGTCCGTGGTCAACAAGGAATGATAACTTTTAAATCTGATCCTCTTCGTATTTTTGAATACTAGGGCATGAGGAAAACCAGGAGAAGAGTATATGAATTTCCTTCGATTGTGAAGAGGGAGGCGTTGGCTGTTTATCTGAAACACAACGGCCAGATTATCGACATCTCTGACCTCAGGTACAGGGAATGGGGCTTAAACATTATGTTGACAATGCAGGCCTATAGCTCTGATCCAAACTCTTTAGCGGTGGCGAGGGAACCTTGCTCATCATGGTAACAGGAAGGATAACAACATATGGATGCGTGGCCAGACTGGTCCTCTGGTCTCTTTCTGCTCGGAGAAGCAGGCCTCTGACATTCAGCTCGCTGCGACCAACTTACTCTCAGGCCCCTGTTTCGAGTTCCGCTAACCACGCAGCGCGAATGATCGTTGTAAAACCATCGCTATCGTCTATTCTAGGTCTCGCCTTTCCCCATACCTCTTTATCCTAAAAAGGAAATTTTATGACAGATTGAACTGACAGTAAGGGTAAAACTTCAAGGCCAATGAACAGAACTTCAGTCCCTTTGTCCCTGTAATGGCTAAGGATTAAAACAATCCCACCCTTCTCCTCAAAATTACCCTCAGTCCCACCAAATGCACCACCTCTTTTGATTATATTCTTCAGTTCATCGGTGAAGACTGAGGAGATGAAAAAAAGCCCTGCCCATTCTACAAAACGAAGTCTATTAGCAAGCTCCATGGGTCAAAGAACAGTGGCCGAATAATAAAGGAATTCAAGGTCCTCTTATCCATCCACAAATGTGTAGAGTTAGATTTGGAGGACCCTACAAAGTTTCCAAAGGTCAAATGTGTCTTCACAGTCGTCCGCGTAGGTTCGGAAACTAACGTCTCTCTGGGACATCATTAGCATATCTGTAGACTGCGCCATCAAAACTGAAATGGGTATTGGCTCCATAGGAGAGGCGATCGGTGTCCTCACCCTGATGATGTTTAAAGAAGAGTCTCAAAAGTCGCTCACGATGGTTGTTTGATTGGCTTGTTTAAATTTCAAGGCCTTTGTTAGAATCTCGAAGGTTGCTTATTTATCATTTTTCAGATGTTTCAGCAGTGAAAATATTCTGTTTTGCAGGAGATCCATCTTATTGCCAATTTCCTGTAAGGCATATTCTATCCTAAGTTGGTTTCATCTACTCAACTTATTTGGATATTCACTCCAGGGTAGTTTCTTGGTTGGTGAGCAGGCCTTTGACGGTGTCGTGTGTTCTTTATGGTTTGCTACTCTGATGACAGCAGGCAACTGTATTTTGGACGTTACCATAAAAGGTAAGACTTTGCTTCATTGAGGTTTATGCATCCAACGACAAAGCGAAGTGAGTGGACTTTTTTTTCGACTAGTCGAGTCGTCTTTGACGATGCCTCGGCAGTTATTTTTTAAAACAAATGTGATTGGAACGCCGTTTTTTTAATCCCATTTTTAGATTTCTATAAATACTTTCATGGTAATTGTTCATCCTTTGGTATGACCATTTCGAGCTATATCGTTGTGAGTCGACATAGGGCTCAAGATCTCATCAATTTCCATTCGACAGTTTTTTGATGTATCTCATAAGTTCTATGCTAACAAACTTCTTTTCTCGCCTAGATTGACTTGTAGTTCCTCTGGCTCCATTCAACACGTCGATTTTAATCTGGGAGGATTTAAATGATCATCTCTCTTTCCTGTCCTCCTGGTTACATTTTACGGGGAGTTCTAGTGTGAATAAATTTTTTTCACATTCTTCCACAATGAATTCCACTTGTGTCCAGAAAATATTCTTTGCATGGGTCAATGCTGATTTAAAAAAAATGAATTGGAGGTGATATTTTTAGGATATAATGTTTCTTGATGGGGAAAATTGTGAAAATGGCCTACCTCGGAAACGCGATGTAAACTCTGGTCCTTCCAACTGTAAAAAGAAAACCAAAATGGCGGCGCCCGCGTTTTTTATGCCGAGCGGTCTCGGTCAGTTAACGTGAAATCTTGTTGCCTCGTGATTCGCATGCAAATCGTGGTCGGTCCGCAGCTGTATAAAGCAGGCTCGTTTCTGCTGTTTCAAATCAGAGGGCTTTTCGGCTCGTGAGAAGGTTGGACGTGCGACACCGGTTTTCTTTGTGCCTACCTGCTATCATCAGTTGAATTGTTGAGTTACACACCACAAGCTATTTCGGCAATGGACAAGTTCGATCTAAAGTTGATCCCAGAATTCGACGGCTCCCCACGGGCCCGACTATCGTCGAATGGTTTGAAAAAGGCGAACGTGTTTGCAGGGTGTCCAAAATAAAGGAACCTGCACTAGTCATCCCACTGAGACTCACGGGAGGAGCCTACGCAGTATATCAACAACTCGGGGACGATGCTGACCTAGAAGAGATCAAGGACGCCCTGTATACGGCCTTTGGAATAGATCCATTCATCGCTTGGAAACAGTTCGTCGGACGACGGCTCGAGCCGGGTGAGACCGTGGATGTTTACCTGGCTGATTTGAAGGAAGGCTGGCAGTACCGTTTGGCGGAGCAACGGACCGCATACTGGGGTGCGCCTTCCTGGCAGGGCTTCCCGACGACACCAGTCGGCTCCTGCGAGCGTCTTCAAGATTGGACACACTGGGAATTGACGAATTGCTAGCCAGGGCCCGAAACATCTTGAAGGACACGGAACAGATCGCGGCAGCCGTGAGAACGCCTGAGACACCGAGGAGGGCCCAAAGTGCTACAAGTGCGGTGGACCCAACCATTTCTCTAGGGACTGCCGGAGCCGAAGTGACGTAGGAGGGAGCAGCAGACGGAACCGAGCACGACTACGCTGCTATCGCTGCAAAGAGTTAGGCCATGTAGCACAGGATTGCTCGAATGAGTCCGGGGACAAGGTGCTGTCGCAACCCTTTGCCCCCTCGGTCAGTAAATGCGGCATTGCCTGTTGTCAACGTGTACGTTGAGGGTAAACGATGTTCGGCGCTCGTTGACACTGGATGTTCCCGATCGATCGTTAGTGCGGATCGATGCGTGACATGGAACAGTCAACAAATCGAGATTCGGACGATTGACGGGGTGTCCCGGGCCTGTTGTGGTGTCGGGACTGTGTCAGTCCTAACAGACGGAGGGAGTCATGCCAAAGTCGACGTCTTGGTGGCACGTCAAAGGCCCCTCGGGTACGACCTGCTACTTGGGATTGATGCGATCCGAGCGTTAGGAGGCATGATGATCACGCCAGCCGGAAATGTGGAACTGGGTGAAAGAAGAAAGGTGTGTGCAGCCCTTTGCATTAGTGAGCCGGATTTCGACGTCTCCTTCAATTCCGACGAGAGGGTGTGGACCGCCAGGTGGAAATGGGCCCAAAAAGACCCGCCAGTTCAGCTTCGCAACAAGGTCGCTGAGTACAAAGTTCCAGACAGCATCAGAGGAAAATACGAGAAAGAGCTTCAGCAGTGGATTGTGAACGGCTGGCTGATTCCGTACCCCCAGGAAAGACTGGGACCCCAAAAGGTCTGATTCCCTTGATGGCAGTCGTGCAGGAGCAGAAACAGAAGGTGCGTCCGGTACTCGATTACCGCGAATTGAACGACTTTGTGGATGCTTTCACTGCCGATGCAGAAGTGTGCGCACATAAGTTGAGAACGTGGCGGCGGCAGGGAGTCAATGTGTCGCTTCTGGATCTGCGGAACGCATATCTTCAGATTCACATCGACGAAGCGCTGTGGCCATTTCAAACGGTTATTTTCAAAGGCCAACGCTTCTGTCTTACGCGGCTAGGATTTGGGCTAAATGTAGCGCCACTCATCATGAAATCCGTTATAGACGCCATCGCATCGCAAGACCGCACAATTGAAAGTGCCACATCAGCATACGTTGATGATATCTTCATTAATGAAAGTTTGGCCTCTGCATCGCGTGTAAGACAACACTTTTCGGATTACGGTTTGGTGTGCAAGGATCCGGTGCGACTGAGAGATGGAGCAAGAGTTCTTGGCTTGCAGGTCTGGGAAGAAAATGGCACCCTCCGATGGAAACGAGGAAGTCAAATTCCGGAAGCCCCTGATGTGTTGACCCGGCGGCGCGTATTTTTTTCGTTGTGTGGGAAACTTGTTGGACACTTCCCAGTGTGGGATGGCTCAGGGTGGCAGTTGCATTCGTCAAGCGCCTGGCAACCGCAGCAACCAATGGATGGGATGATAACATCAAAGATCCCTCTCTCTGTCGCATACTAGCAGAGATGTTAAGTAGAGTGCGGGAACTGGATCCCGTCGGAGGAGACTGGTGCATGAGTGGTGACGAGATCACAGTCTGGGTGGATGCGAGTTCCGTGGCGACAGGAGTGGCATTGGAAGTAAACGGAAATGTCATCGAAGATGCGTGCTGGCTGCGTCCGACTAATGATGCCAGGCACATTAATTTGGCTGAACTCGATGCGGCGCTTAAAGGAGTGAATCTGGCTCTCCAGTGGGAGGCGACAACGTTGCACTTGGTCACTGATTCGGCGTGTGTGCACCGGTGGATTTCAGACACCTTGACCGGGAAGGCACGGGTGAACACAAGGGCGGCTGGTGAGATGCTGGTCAGGCGACGGCTGGGCATTTTGCGATCGTTGGTGGACGAATATGGATTGACCGTAGACGTGACACAGTCCTGCAGTCCTGTCAGAACCGTGCAGATCGCCTCACCAGAGTACCGCACAGGTGGCTAGAACTGCTCAAGAGAGGAGAACCGGCACTCGAGAGCTGTGCAGTGGCAGGGAGACGACTGGATGAGGACCAGGTTGCCAATACGCATCGTCAATGCGGACATCCGGGCGTGAAACGAACTCTGTACTTCGCCAGGTTAGTCGACCCGCAGGTGTCCAGAGAAAGCGTTAAATCCGTTGTGAAGGCCTGCACAACCTGTCAGTCGATCGATCCGGCACCCGTTCACTGGGAAAGAGGAGAACTGAGCGTGAAGAGCAACTGGAGCAGACTGGCAATGGACATAACTCACTACAATGGTGAGAATTTTAACACTCATTGATTGCGGTCCCTCCAGGTTTGCGGTATGGCGGCCGCTGCGCAGACAAGACGCGAGCACCGTCATTCGACTGTTGGAGAATGTTTTCCTGGAGCGAGGCCCACCCATGGAAATACTGACGGATAACGATACTGCGTTCACCAGTAAAGATTTTAAAGAATTTGCGGACACTTGGGACGTGCATCTGCGGTTTCGATGTGCCTACTCGCCAAGTGGAAACGGCATCGTGGAGCGGAACCACAGAACCATCAAGACCATCGCAGCCAGGAAGGGCTGTACAGTATCGGAAGCGGTTTACTGGTATAATGTCGCCCCGAAGGATAACATTTCACCATCCACGGCGCCGGCTGATGCACTGCACAAATATCATGTCCGCGTGAAAGGCATCGAAGCCAACCCGCTGCCTGAACTAGAAGTGACTGGAGGAGATTGAAAAAGGAGACATCGTTTGGGTCAAAAACCCACGCGGCAAGTGTACGACAAAGTACGGCACTGGACGTGTTACGGAGGTTATCAGCCCGCAATCTGTGAGAGTTGATGGGGTGCCTCGTCACATTAAAGACTTGCGACCGGTGACGCAATCACTACCGCTACCGAGCGATGAAAGCGATTCCGAGTCTGGGAGTAGTGAGCGTTCAATCTGCCTTTGAGTTAGACCTGCAGGGCAGCGATTCTGATAACAGCAGCCTCCCGGCGGACACAGTGTTTACCGACACTCAAACCACAGACGAGAACACGCACGAGGATGAAGCTTGTGTTATCCCCTTCGGAGAGGGACTCGACGGCGACGATCGCCACCTCCCTGCCCTGTTTGTGATCATGAGATCAGGGGGAGTGTGGGGAAAATTGTGAAAATGGCCTACCTCGGAAACGCGTTCGAATCTGCGCAGTATGTAAACTCTGGTCCTTCCAACTGTAAAAAGAAAACCAAAATGGCGGCGCCCGCGTTTTATGCCGAGCGGTCTCGGTCAGTTAACGTGAAATCTCGTTGCCTCGTGATTCGCATGCAAATCGTGGTCGGTCCGCAGCTGTATAAAGCAGGCTCGTTTCTGCTGTTTCAAATCAGAGGGCTTTCGGCTCGTGAGAAGGTTGGACGTGCGACACCGGTTTTCTTTGTGCCTACCTGCTATCATCAGTTGAATTGTTGAGTCTTTGTATACACATGGTGTCCGAATGGAACCCATGTGTACAGCCATAAAATAGAAGGGAATTTTCAGTCATCACCCCAAATATATCGCTGACAGGCTACGTTGCCGACCACAGCCTATATAAACACAGCGGATTTCTTCCATCAAATTAATTTGCCCGACGAATTTTTTTCGTTGGGTTTTTTGACAAATATTGGATCGTTTCTTGGCCTATGGCTGAGATTCGATCAAGGCTTTGACTAGCTTGGACTGGCTCCGGCCAGGACCTGTTCGGACAAGTCATGATCAGCTTTGACTAGGCTCTGACCAGCTTGGACAAGCTATGACCAATTTTGACCAGTGGCCTTTGAGTGGAAACACTCGGGTCTCCCACGTTAAACGACCTTGTGTCACATCTTGACTTTGTGGGTGTCAAGTAAATACCATTAGCCCGACGAATTTTTTTCGTTGGGGTTTTTGACAAATATTGGGTCGTTTCTTGGCCTATGGCTGAGATTCGATCAAGGCTTTGACTAGAAAAAACTGGCTCAACCTGGACCTCCGGACCTGATCCTGTTATTCAAGTCAATGATCAGGCCTTTGACAGGCTCCCACGTGAAACAGCTTGGAAACATTATGACTTTGTGGGTGTCAGTTTACCATTCGACCAATTTTTTCGTGGGGTTTTTTAAATATTGGAAACAAAATCAGGCACAAAGATTCTCCTTCAACTAATTGGAAAAACGACCTGAATGCTAGAACAAGTCATCACCAGACTTTGACCAACTTGTCATGGCCAAATACCATTCACCCGACGAATTTTTTCGTTGGGGTTTTGGGTGTCAAATATTGATCGTTTTTTTCGTTGGCCTATAAATGAGATTGGCCTCTGAGATTCAAAGGCTTTGACTAGCTTGGACTGGCTCCGGCCTGGACCTGTTGTAATCAAGCATTTGAAGAAAGTTCTCTTGTGAGATAAATGTTCCGAAATAATTGTTAGAGCAAAGTTTGCATGTGAAGAATGAATAACAAGAAGAATACAATTGCTTGAAATGTGTTGTGGATAAACTGGTTGGAATCAACAAAGTTCTGGTCGATTGTGCTTGGCGAAAGTTACAGAGAGAAAATGTAAGTTTGTAGTTACGAAATTCTGTGTCGTGGATTTGTGTTGACGGCTGGGATCTTACTGGATCTTACTGGCGACTTGCGAAAAGTCGCCCTATTTAAGGAAAAGAAGTAGGCTCCCACGGAACCGCGGGAAAACTTGATCTTACATTAAAAATATGTGATTGGTTAAAAATTGACCAATCACTACACACGTACTAAACAGAATAGGTAAGTATGCTCAGAACGAAAAGATTCAAAAGACCGATTGCGATGGCTAAATTGTCCTATACAAAGGTAGTAGTAATTTATTAGCCAATCGCAGGCGAATAAAATGACTTGTAGTGTATGTGGGTGTGAAAAACATAGCAACCGCTATACTACTATGATTTAATAGCAATTTTTTCAAAATCTAATAATTGAAAATTAAATAAAAAAACTAATAATTGAAATTAAATTATAAAATCTAGTAATTGAAATTAAATAAAAAAAATTAGTAATTGAAATTGAATAAATGATATACATAATTTATTTTTTTTTATATACAAATTCATATACTGCGTGGTCGGAAGGAATGTTGTAGAACATTACATTTATATAGAAACTCTGACTTTCTTTCCAACCAAGTACTTTATTGAACGAAATGAAAAACTTTACAATATGTTACAAGATGAGATCTTGCCCTGCTTCGATAAACGGAAGTTACCATCACGAGTCCCCGACTCGAATAAAACTCACGTCTACGGAGGCTCGAAACTTCCGTTTGGGAAAACTCGAAAAAAAATGAAAAGAATTAAATCAACCAATCGGACCGTCTCCCGCGTATTCAAAAATTGCCATTTGGAGCCGATAGGCGTGTATAAGTTCAACACGGGAAAGTCAAAAGGAGTGCCATTCAACGGCGGAGGCAGAAGGGTCACGTCGCTCGCCTGACACACTGGCCCGGCGACGAAACGAAGCATGTGACCGCTGCTGCTAATGAACTCTCGTCCGACGCCTTGTCAAAGGGTACCTTTCCCTCAACTTTTAAATACGAACTTTTTACTTGTTCTTATTTTCCTCACTAAAAGAGATTACAAAATATATCTACAGTCTTTCTTGTTCTTTCGATTCTGAATTCCATTGTTTGCAACCAAACGCAGTATTTCGCCCACATTGATTTCACATCGCCCACGTAACTAAATACGGAATATAACACTGGTGTCAAGCCTGCAGCGAAACAATGGAATACTCAGGCCTCTCTCGCTCAGAAATTCTGGAACTCATCAAGCAACAGAAAACAGCGATTCTCCAAACGAAAATCGACATGGAACGCGCTGACAACCCCAAAGCACAATCGATCATTAACGAACTAAAAGCAGACCTTCACGAACTTTTTTCCCGCTCTGCAGACTACCACACATGATCGCTCACACTCACCGCGATACACCACAAACTACGAACTATTAATGCGACAGCAATCACTTCGGACGCTACGAAATCCATCCGGGCCTTCGAACCAGGCAATGACGTCAACCGCTTTATCACCGACCTCAGCAAAGCTTACACGATACACGTTAAGCCAGAGTTGAGCGAATACCCCGAGATGGAGAAAGAATTCGTCAAACTGGCAAAACAACTCCTTAACGAAGGCATCTTCCAGCAGATGGAAGACTCAAAACAATCCACAGCCACGTTCGAGTCTCCACTCACGGGAACCAGATGACGAATTTCCAACATCTGAGTCGGGCATGGGACCTCCAGCGCTGTGACGGGGAGAAATTCACTGATTTTGCAGGCCGACTTGAGAACACAATCCGAGAGGCCACAGTCCACATCAAGGCGAGATTCAAGTTGACAAACAAAATGCCGAGATGACGGCCGACACCGCTTTCTCCCTAATGGGGGCCATGCTCATGAGCGAAAGGATCAAGGCATGGGCACCCAACATTTATCCACACCTCGTCAAAACCATGGATAGACACTACTCAGCGGGCGGTATTGCCAGCGACGCGCAACGCTTTCTCGATCGCGGCATCAAAACAGACATGACCACCTCCGTTGAAACAACCGCATTGATTGCGAGCCAACCTGCAAACTCCGGCAAGTCTCACAGCCTTGAAAGTGACAGAATACTAGCCGACGTAAAGCGACAATTGCTGGACCTGAACGAGCAACTACGGCAGGCGCACAGGCACGACCCAACCACCATCAACAGGAACAATCAGACCGGCCCCTCCTCCAACATGAAGCACAGCCGGACGCAAAGAGGCACTGGCTAATCTGGCCACCCGGCAGTATGCAGAAACTATCTACGAGGTCGTACATGCTTCAAGGGTAACAGATGTCCCTATTTTCACCCTCCCCACGCTCAAGCTCACATAGCGACCACTGATACCACCTTACCCGGAGCAGACAGTGATCCACATAAGCAGGTCGCCGATGCATTCTTCGCTTTCCACACCACTCCCACCATCCCTGTTAAAGAGATCGCCGACCACATGGGTATTGCGGCCGAACAAGCCTCTGATGATACACTTTCAAAAATCATCAGAGCCCTCCAGTCGACAGATCCAAGACCTGACACTACCATACTTGACCCCAACGATCATCGCACTGCACTTTTCAACAAACTCATGCATCAATTCTACTTGGAACCGGGAACGTCTGTACTAATGATCAGGGACGCTGCGAACACACCCAAGCTGGTGGTACCTTACAAGCTCCGCGCAAAATATCTCCACCAGGCTCATGACTGTGTAAACCACTCTGGAATCAGCCGCATGCAGGAACACCTTATCCAGTTACTGGTGGGAATATAAAATCGCGACATCAAGGCGTACGTCCATTCATGCCAAACCTGCGCTAAACGTAAGGGGGAATTACGGCAGGCACCTAAACTGGCCCATGGGCCATTGTAGGCGAGGCAGAAAACCATTCGAGGTTGTCTACATAGATTTTGTCTCAATGCCCCTCTCAAAGGGTAAACGGTACATTCTCACTATCTTAGACAGCTTCAGCCGACATCTCATTTTTTTTACCATGTGCTAGAGACCGTGCAATCGACGCAGCCCGCAGGCTCTACCAGTTCTTCCTCCGTCATCGGGAGATTCCCCGCATCGTGTCCTCCGACCGAGGAACCCACTTCACCGGCGAGGTCTCCAAAATATTTCTGCGACATAACATCGATCACTCGGGAACTTCACTGTCCATGGCGACCACAAATTTCGGGAAACATCGAACGGCAATACCGGACCCTCAAAAAACGCCCTCTACATCATCTGCGAAGATAGAAACTGTGAATGAACGGACGTCCTTGAATCCTCCATGAATGCCACGGCCAACACCGCCACCGGCGCATCTCCACATTACATAATCACTGGTCGTCAACCACATATCGGACTACCAAAGATACCACGTCAAGATATCATCAACAACAATCCTGGTGCTTACGGCATGCAGATAAACGCCCTGCTCCGACAGGTACACCAAAGAGTTGCTCTGGCAAACAACGAGGCTGACCACAGAATAGAAGCCAAACTGAACCATAAGATTTTCAAGGACCCGATACAGGTCGGCGACAAGGTGCTTCTCTACCGACCTCAGTCCACAATAGCCCACTCATCACATCTGCCTTGGATAGGCGACTTCGAAGTCACCAGAACTAACGATATGGTGCTCCAAGTCAAAAAAAAAACGGCGAAACCGATTGGGTCCACCTTAAACATATTCGTCGGCTCGTACCGCGACCAAATCACTTGCAATACATGAGCCGGTCACCTCTACCCCCACCTCCATCTCCGCTCCACCAAATCCCCATAACCCATTGACACGGCCTCCTACACTTTCGTCAGGGGAGCATCATATCACAGATGACTGCAGTTCCGGCAATAATAGCCAAAACACAGCAAAACGGAAAACACGCGGGCAACTCCCAGCACGCTTCCAAGACTTCGTAATGGGCTATAAAACAAAATGAAAAAAAAAAAAAAAAAAAAAAAAACATTCACTCGCACACACCAACAACATTACTAACAAAACATCAAATCAGGGTAAGATCTGGGGGAGCTGTTACAAGATGAGATCTTGCCCTGCTTCGATAAACGGAAGTTACCATCACGAGTCCCCGACTCGAAATGAAAACTACACGTCTACGCATAGGCTCGACGCAGATACTTCCGTTTGGGATAAACTCGAAAAAAAAAAATGAAAAGAATTAAATCAACCAATCGGACCGTCTCCCGCGTATTCAAAAAATTGCCATTTGGAGCCGATAGGCGTGTATAAGTTCAACACGGGAAAGTCAAAAGGAGTGCCATTCAACGGCGGAGGCAGAAGGGTCACGTCGCTCGCTCCTGACACACTGGCCCGGCGACGAAACGAAGCATGTGACCGCTGCTGCTAATGAACTCTCGTCCGACGCCTTGTCAAAGGGTACCTTTCCCTCAACTTATTAAATACGAACTTTTTACTTGTTCTTATTTTCCTCACTAAAAGAGATTACAAAGTATATCTACAGTCTTTCTTGTTCTTTCGATTCTGAATTCCATTGTTTGCAACCAAACGCAGTATTTCGCCCACATTGATTTCACATCGCCCACGTATACGGAATATAACAAATATTTAGTGTCAATATAGTATCGCCAGGTATTATTGGAACATAAATCACAGAGATAATTCAGTATCTATATCAATCTATGTTCACATAGACACAGACATATACATACTATACAGTGTACACACCTACACACGTGTAAATACACTTTTGTGTGGTGGTCAGTATAAATTAGAAAAAAATAGAACAGACGCACACGCAAAAAATCTCTTTTCCAATAATTAAAAAATCAAATCAAATCAGAAGACTTACAACTTCCTGTAAAGAAAGGAGTTGGCTCACTTTCTTCTCCATTAACCAGAGGACGTTCGGCACTTCCAAAAAAATCCAGGACAACAGTGATTAGTAGCCATTTCTTTGTAAACCTTTAGAATTCAGTCATTTTATGAATTGAACTTAGGTTTTGTTTCTTCAGCATTGTTTTTACTCCAACACAACACATAATAAAAACAACAGAACAAATTATTTTCATTCTATAATAATAGCGATAAGAGATTCTTATGTTTGGTGTTTACACCAAACATAAGAATTAGATATTATTAATAATACTGTACATAAAGGCAAATTACATTTACGCCCAACAACTTCTCTTGGTTACAGTCTTACAAGAATCTGTTTTTGCAAAAAGTTCTCGTAACTTAACAGTGTATTTAATAACTAGCAGGGATACCCGGCGTTGCTCGGAAGATCTCTGAATAATAATATATTATTGATAATTTATTGATATTTTTCAGTCATCTTATGAAAAATAATTTTTATTTAATCTTTAAAAAATAAGCTTCATTGTTTTGTTTTGTTTTTGGTTACAAAATAACTAAATTTAGGAAAATACCACACTATCAATACCACGCTCGGAGAGAGGGGAGATTATGGGGCTGAGCACCCCCATATTTTTATTTTTTTCGATTTAAATCAAACAAATCAAACTTAGATAAAAGTTCATTAGCCTTTTTCAATTTTTTATAAAAAGAAGTAAATAAACTTAAATTAAGATATATTTAATTTAATCATTTTTTCAAGCAAAAACTATAGCGAGCCTTACTTTGTTGCGGAGCCGATAAGAATGTCGCCCCCGCAAGCTTTTAGAAGATAGGTGTGAACAGCCAATACAATGAGGGGACAAAGGCAGAGGATTAAAAATAATAAATGTCGATTTTTATTTATCCAAAATGTACAAGGGTGTACTGATGGAGAAATATGTTTGTATCGGTACAACTGGTTTGCTTCAGAGGAAGTTGATTAGGTTGTATCGGCGAAACGAATGTAGAGTTGATCGGCGGCGGTAGCTGGTCGACTTCTGGATTGGAGAATTGTCGGTGGCAGTAGCTGGTTGATCGATGACGCACGAAGATTCGTTGGGTCGGTTAGGACGAGTCCCTGAACAGGGTCGAGTCAGTTACGACTACCAGGGCTGATCAACCACGGGGGCGGAATTTCGCCTTCGTCAAGTGCTACCCTTCGACACGATCCAATATAAATATAAATCATACGATAATATTTTTTACAAAAAGCTGGCATGGGTGATAATGTGTCTGTATATATGTTTACTTTGTAGTTTTCTAGTTTTAACCGGACACACACACACACACACACACACACACACACACACACACACACACACACACACATCCATAGATGATGCATAGAGTTAATGATTATTTCTGTTTCTATTATTTCTCACGAGAAGCCATAAATTGTGCATATACCACAGGAATTTTCGCACTGAATGAAAATCAAATACAATTCTTTAATAGAACCACTATATATTGTGAGTGTGCGCGCGCATATATTGCAAGTTTTGGAAGAAGACTACATTAAGTGATCATTAATCGAGACATTCCTTATCAAGTCTCAGGAGAGATCAAGAACCTAACCATGTAAATGGTTTGCATTAGATTAAATTGCTTCCTTCTGGTTAGCAGCTGCTTATCAATCGGTGTTGGCCAACATTACGACTTCAAAAAAGAAATAAACTGAGATTGCTTAGTACTGTTTCAACAGAGAATAGGAACACAATAGCGCGTTCTGTATTGTCACAATGGCTTCTTGGATTTCAATTTAAAATCTCACGTGATAGTTCAAAATACTGTGCACAGAGAAGCACGGAAAAATGTAAATGTATGCATACATTTAACTAACACACATTCGCGTATATCTTCACTCTTACACAAATAGAGTCATGCTTTTGTAGATATCTTTAAATTTCTATCAGACGAAATGTTACGTGTGCGCTCACACACACACACACACACACACACACACACGGTGTTTACTCGTTCCCCCACGAGGACGAAATGTGACACTAGGTCTTTTTAAAGTGGGGACCCGAGCGCTTGCACCCGGGCAAGGGACAAAAATTGCCCACAGCACCGACCCCTTCCTCTTGTGCAATGGGAGGGCGCGGCCTCGGGCAGCTGTTCCTCAGGGCTGGACAACTCTTCAGTATTGTTTTCTTAGTTGCCCCCCCGTCCTTTGACAGAGAAGCCCCTGAGCGCACTCTGTCCAAAGACAGAGACGCAACTGAAAGATGATAAGCCTCCGTTTGAAACTCCTCCAAAAAGGAATTTTCACACACACACACACACACACACACACACACACACACACACACACACACACACACACAATCATAATTACAGCCAATCACACATTTCGAAAAATTCGATT